CCCTGCACCCCAGCCTACCAGGATATGGCACGTGGAGATCAGGGAGCCCCTGCACTGAGGCACATTGTGCCTGAGTCAGAGCGGTTGGCTGGGGCACAGTGTGCCTCAAGATGCGGGGAGCAGGCCATCCTGGGTTGGTGCTCCCCTGTCTCTGGATGCCTCAGTGCAGGGCTCCACTGCGAAGCCCCTCCACTGAGGCACGGGGAGACATGGGAGCCCCTGAGCTGAGGCACACTGTGCCCCAGCCAGCTGTGCCACTCCACAGCTGGCTGGGGCACAGTGTGTGAAGATACCCTGTCTCTGTATTTGTCCCAGCTCATGCTATTTTCATGTGCTTTGTGCTAGTTTTTTTTTCCCAGGGTATTTTTTTTTGGATACCCAGAAGTCTCGGTAGCAATTTTGCCCCTGTGCCGCAAGCTAGCAGTGCTGTGAATGGTTTAAAGTGCAATGTATGCAGTTTGTGGCACCACAAACCTTTTTGTAGTGCCACAAACTCACGTACCAGCTCATCTGGACCCGCCCAAAATGTTTATTGTTTTTATAACCTGGAAGCCTGCATTGTAAGGTTTTGATTGTAACATGGACTTTGCTTGTCTAGCCCACTTTACTCCACTGTCCTAAGTTCAGAGACATTGGTCTATATACGTGTTATGTTTATCATATTTTTAAGAAGTAATTTCTTAAAACACCAGTGTTTTGTCATGAAGTTCTCTTTTCCAAAGTGCTGACTTGAAGAATTTATCTCTCATAAGCAAATTGTACTCTGCCCAGGTCAAGAAAAAAAAAAGATTCCTGCAGGCAGGCAGTAAACATTTTGCTGGCCCAATATTTGGCTTCAATAGGCAATCATTTCTTCTATCTCTATCATACAGATGGCATTGTGCTTTTAGCGAGGAACATACCACAGGCCTTTGAAACTTCAGATGAAGCAGAAGTTTCCTGTCAATACTGGCAGCTCCTTTTAGCTTTAATATGGAACTATCTACTTTGTTTCAACTTTGTATGTTAAAACCTATTTGGGGTACATAAAGACATTCAGGAAGGTTAGAACAAGTTAAAAATAGCCCCCCCCACCCCAGTCTAAGATAAACTGGGATGGGGGCCCAGTAGGGAGGGGACCTGGTGGCTGGGGCGGCAAGCAAGCTCCAGGTGGGGTTCATGGAAGCAGGCAGAGTCCAGAGGGGACATGGGGAGAATAGATGGCATCTGTGGGGGGTTGGGGGACTAGGAGAGTCTGCAGGAGTTTGGTGGGTGCAGGAGGGCTTGGTAGGATCAGGGGGGTTCATGGAATCTGTTGAGAGACTTGGGGGGGGCTCTCTCCCCCACCCCCCAGGACCAGGGACTATTTTTAGCCCTCCACCTCCCCACCCCCAACCAAAATAACCCTCCTTGGTGAACCAGTTACCTCCCACTCCACCCCACTCAAATATTTAGAAGTAGTCTACTAATGTATGCCATGGCATGTTTCTTTTTCTTTTCTTTTTTTCTTTTTTGTTTCTTGTTTTCTTTTTCTTTTCTTACCTCCTCAGCTCCCAGCACCAGCAAATGCCCGTAAAACCAGCCCCAGTAGTAGCTTGCAGAATTGGGAGGTGTGGTAAGCTTGCAGCAGGGGAATGGTGGCTGGATGGTCCATGGTGGGGGTTGTCTATCTGGGGGTGAGGAGAGGATCTTGGGGTGCGGGGGGAGGCTAAAAATAGTGCACTGTCAGGGGATCAGATAGAGAAAGTACAGTCCCAGGGCTAGTGCCAGTGGCTTCGCTTTGCCAACCCCAGGGCGGCACTAGGAGCTGTTGAGAAGTTCAGTTAGATCAATCTTACTGGACCCAATCTACATTAGACTCAGAGATGCACTTAACTTACATTGGGTTGGCCATTTTTAGACTCATCTAACCGTCTTGAACTTCTGCCCAGTTCACACTTAAATCAACCTAACTAGGGATCTAAGTGTAAGGTCTGCATCTGAGCAAACTGAGGTCAGGTAGCCATTTTTAATGTTATTTCACCTCCCCACGTCCTCAAATATCTTTATTTACCCATACAAAGATAAATAAAGCATATATGAGAACTCTTTCAAAAAAAATTTTTTTTTGGTGAGTGAAGACAGGGCAAACTAAAATACCCACTTCCCATTTGCGATCTCAAAAATCTTTCTCTTCATGTAATACCAGAGTCCTTTATGCAGACAAATAATGCAATTAGCAACAGTAAGTTCTGAACTAGCGAGATATTGATGTGTGCGCCAGTTGAATTGCCAACTAAACAAGATGTTTATGAGCAGTCTATTAATGTATGCCATAGTATTTTTTTTTCTTTTCTTTTTTTTTGTTTTTTCTTTTTCATTTCTTTTCTTTTCTTTTTGTGGTAAATATGAATAATAGGGGGGAAGTACTTACAAATATTTATTTTTAAATATTAATGAAATAGCTATATGTTCAGAAATGATACTAACATCACTTACTCTGTCATCCAGATATTTAAATATACAAGCTATGTATTACATGCAAAGAAAAGTTATCTGATATGATTGGGTCATCACCGTGTCAGCTGCTCGGGCAGTAAGCATTCCTCAGAGAAATGAATGGATCTAGTTCAGGGGAAATAATGGTAGTATTATAGATTGTTCTCTAGGGGAATGGTGTATAACACCATTCTTTGTTCTGCTTCTAGGGAAATTCTACTGCTCCAAAGGTTGGAGACAAACTTGGTTGGATGGGTTCTATAGGCTTGAATGGGAGCAATCAAGGTTTAATGACCCTCTATTATGCCTGGTCTAGAAGATGCATGACACAGCCGTGACATTATGGCTGACTTGGTATGCTCCAAGGCATTTAATGATATGGCAATTTCATAACCTCAGCTAGAATTCATAAGATGTACATAGACAGATTCCCTGAATTGTCACATCCCCATATTACATCTCCTCTGTTACGTAAATGAAGTGTAAAAATGACTTGCAAGATGTACTGCTGAAGAGTGACTTGCTCATGAAATTACATTGAGTAGAATGAATGGAAGAGGAACATTCATGCTGTTACTTTCAGTGGATTAAGTCTCTCTTCTTCTCATTCCAAGTTAATCAGGACTTTGTACTACAGATGTAAAACCAAAAATCCTGTTCAATAGCAGGAAGCAGAGTTGTGCCAAAGAACTTTTTTTTTGCTCCTAACAAAGATGTGGAACCTTTTGGCAATACTTGTGAGGAAGGGATCACCATAAATTACATTTTTAATTTCACTCAATCCTGAGAAAATTAATGCAAAAGTGTGTTCCTTTATACATTTAGAAATGAAAATGTTTCATATGCAACTCAGACTTGTTTGTTTTGTGTAGTTTATGGCATGCATTCATTGTCACAATCATTAGTGTGAGAATATGCTGATGTTTAACTTTACATTGACATTGCTGAACTGCATGATGTGCAAATTTCATGCATCAGGATGTGAATAGATTTTGCTCTTTCTTCATGCACAAAATTTCACATTGGACTCTGGCCAAGTCCGGAGAATTTAAAGCAGAAAGAAGAACTTTTCAGAAAGTTGAGAAATGCACAAACCTGGAGCTATAATAAGTCTGCACATAAATCTTAACTATAGTATTCTGTACATAGTGCCTGTCATAATTATTCTGTTGGAGGTGGCTGGAGCCTATTAGCATATACTTAGTAAAAGTATGTACATTGTTTTACTTGTAATGAATAGCTATAGCATGTAAAAAGTAATTTAGGAAATAGGACCTTCATAGCTCCTGAGAACACATGGAAGTGTAATGTTTGTTGTGGTCTTGTTAATAGAGAGGAATAAACTTTAATTAGATTTACTCTAATAAAGGTTTACAAATGTGCCATATCGCTATCAGAACTTAAACAATAAAGAGGAAATGATGCTGAATAGGTGGTGAGCATACTGCTAGTCACAGCCAAACTTAACAGTCTTCATATACAAGGACTAAGTTGTGATTTTTAACAAGGAGCTCAGGGTCATGCATTCAGAAACCCTGGGAGTGATGTTTGTGGAAAAATAGTACCCACTCCCACAAGATATGATACATGTTCCTTGTCTTCTCCCTCCCTTCCAGTTCTTCTTTTCAAAAGAGTTCTCCTTACTAGTATGCAGACTGTTGGGCAACTACATACCCTTCCTTCCCTCTGCCCATTCCTCTTCTTTGATGTTTTCTATATTTATTATCCATGCAGGACTGAGACTGTGCCTGGCGTTGAGTCAGAAGGGTATGAGGGTGAGGAGAGAAGGAAGACTGCATACCTTTCTGTCTCCAATCCTGCAAACACTGGGCACAAGTAATTGATCCATATGTCAAAATAAATGAAATATGGGCCACCCACACTGTTGTGTGTAGGGTCAAAACTAACAGGTTATAATGATTTCTTATTGTAAAGGATTGCATTGGTGTCTTCCCAGTCTGGATAAAAGCATATGGAGTAGTCAGGAGAGATGGGAACAGAGCCCATTCTCTGGACTTGACACTCCTGTAGGTGAACTTCCTGTAAGGTATAGAGAATTTGTGTTGCTTGCTAACACAGATCTGCAGGTTATTTTGCCTAGGCCATGCAGTGCAATGAAACTGGCAGCAGGATCTGGCTGAATCTGTCATCCATGACATGTGAAGGGCTCCTTACACCTTCTCTCTCCTCCCCCTTCAGCACCCACTCTGGGAGTGGCACAGTTTAGCTCTGAGGATTTTTGTCTTTGCTGGTGTCTTTAGCACCCTACTGAACAAAGTCAGTATTAGGACACGATGCACAACACACTTTCTCTTTTTAGGTGCATGTTCTTTTTGTTTGATCCCACACATGTCCCTTTCCTCCTTTTATTTAGTTTGTTTGATCTTATACTTTTCTCCCCCCAGTTGTCTTGCAGACCTTGCAAACTTTGTGCTCCGTAAATAAAACCATTCTGCTCAATTTGGTCCTGTGTCTCTTGGCTTGTTCTATCTCAGTCTTCTTGTTGTCATAGGAGAAGTCATGATGAGAATTTGCTGGGATCTGTGGGAAGGCAGAAGTCCTCTAGAAGTGTCCTCTAGAAGTGTTATCATCCTATTAGATGTCACTGTGTTATCTTCACCAGAAGGTGCCTGGCTCATGTGGTATATTGTGTTTCTTCTGATCAGAACCTTTTCTTTTGTATGTGATTGATAAGTGCTATTTGTAATATGCATTACATGAAGTCAAATGATGTTTAACTGAGTCTTTTCTCTATGTATGCTGAGGATTAGTATGATGAGATGTATCTGTTTTGTAGTTGTTCTCCTTTTTGTGTCTTTTACAGAAATTAAACGGTTAAAGCCCAGGTCCTCAAAAGGTATTTAAGCCGAAATTCAAAAGGTTCCCATTGCTTCAGTAGTCGTTGCATAGTAAGCTAAGTACTGCTGGTGAGGCAGGGACAATAGTTTACAACCCTATATCCTCTAAACCTAATGCTGAAGTTCAAACAGAGTATGTGGTCAATATCTTTCTTGGTTTCACAAAGGCACACACAAAAATAGGCTATCTTTTTTTTTAAAAAAACGTTTCAAAATTCAGAAGGTAATTGCTCCAAACCTTTTTATTTGCCAAAAGGTTCCAAACATTTAGGTAACAGGCCCTTTTTCAGGATATTTTCGCACAGTTGCACACTTCTTTTCTTTATAAGACTCTTATCTGCCATTAAGTGCTGAGGCAAAAGCTCATTTTGTTTTTGTAGTATGTCCTCTTTTTTCTTTTCTTTTTTTTATGGTGACATGGTAGAGTGTAAATACACGCAAACAATTATGGCATGAGCTAAGATGCAAGATGCTACATCAACTGCAATTTAAATTCCAACCTTATCTGTTGCTTAGTGGCAGCACTTGCTGCTTGACCCATGAACTTCTCATTTAATGCTTGATGCTGTGTGGGCAATTTATTTAAATTACTTGATAAAGCAATACTTTCCAGACAATAAACAAATGCCATTAAATATATTGTCTTGAACACATTCACTTTTTTAAAGTGTTTTTTATGTACCAAGCCCAGCAGAATTATGTGCCTACCACCCATTCATAGCAATTTACATGCCCTACTGTGACACTCACTTGTGTGGCTAAAACTGATCAACCAACTGCAGGTCCCCCACTATTGAACTCAGGAAATGAGCTGTGTAGAACTTCAGCAGATGGGTCTCTTCTTTTATGATGAAGCATGTAATCTTATGAACCATTTTATAGCTTTTGCTTCTTTAGTATGGCATCATAATATATATACCAACAAATTGATTAGCCATCCTGTTCATTTCATCTGCATCACTTAAGCAAGATTAAGATTATTTAGCATTTTTTTTAATTAAAAAAAGGAAGAAAAAAGAGAAGAGCACCTTAGGTCGGATCTATTGCCTTGAGCAGAGTTATACCTGTAGAAGTATACCTTTTGAGAATTGTGCATTTCTTGTTTAGTATCCCCAAATATGACAGGCAAAAATGTGTAGCTATTTAAAAATGTAATTAACATTCTTTCAGGTTCCCATTAAAACATAATCTTCTGCTACCACTTGTAGTTGCTCAGCTACTGACTTACACATGCCAAATTTTAATGGTATCCTTAGTGGAACAAACTTTGAAATCAAAGTCATAAGTAACAATCCCCTTGTTTTTCTTTTCATGCATACCTTGTCTCAAAAGTTTCTTGAAATATGCTTTATTCTCAGCCTATAGTGATATGGATGTGTAGTAAATATTTCAACATGTATTGAGAGTTTTATTTTCTACATGTCACAAAAGACCTTGTCTGTTGCTAAAAATGAAGAAGCTTTAATTAAATGAGAAGTTTTTAAACTTCATAGCTTTCAATGATTTTAGTCCTCAGTGAGAAAATGTGATTCATAAATATAGTTTGAAAGACCAGAAAAAAAAAGAACAATGAAAATGAAGCATTCTACAAAGGTTTATATTCTTACATAGGAGAGGCAAGGCCTGTGAGGTGAGACAAAATCTTCCTTGGACCGTTTTAGGCAGTTGGGGGAGTGAAGAGACAAACTTGGATTCCCAGGCTATCTGTTAGGTCTTCAAGAATCTTTAGAAATGCACTTCTAGATGTCAAGAACTTTATCTTTCCTAAGTACCTAATTGGGGCCAATAAAAAAAATTACCTGTCCTCTCAAACCTTCCTCTTCTCATCCCTGAACCAGCACAGCTGCAGCTACTATATTACCTCTACGTGAGAGGAAAAAAATCATGATGGTGGACAGTGCTTTGATCTAGAAAAACATGAATGCAATGGATTTTCCCTCAATTAAAAGTTTTTAAATGAAGAGTGGATACATTTTTTTCAGGATCTGGACATATATAATGCATTTACATTTGTGCTAACCTTTACATCAGCTGAAACCAGAAGAGGATAGTCTCATAAATCCCTCAAACTAGACTGGTGTTGCACAATCCCTAAAAGAATCAGGGGCAAAATTACCCTAAGTTACAGCAGTCCCCAGCTTTCCTGGGATACTCATTTGCTCTTGGCAAAGAGGCCATTACTGCCCTGTGCTACCTAGTGGCATGATGCAATAATGGAAAGATATAGTCTGCTACCCTCAAATAAGGTGTTCATTTGTTGGTTCCAGGTGGTACAGGTTATAGTTTAAATTAAAATCAGTGTATAAAAATAAGGTGAGGTAAACTATTATTGATATAAATGTGTCAAAGCTCCAAATAAAACTTAGGACTTGATGCAGAAATTACTTGTTTTGTTTGGAGAGAGGAGACAGGGGGTGCTGGAGAGATAGGGGGAGGCACGGGCACGAGGCAGTAAGGTTTGGGGCTCTCATTGTGCAGGGAGTTGTGATAGGTAGACTAGATAATCATAAAGATCCATTCTGACCTTTCAAATCCATAAAAAATGTTAAAACATAGAGGGGACTACATTTTTCACACTCAGTTCTTTAAAGGAAATTTAATAAAAGGAGAATCTGAGAATAATCTGGTTTGCATGTATTATAACCTAACTGACTAGCAAACAACCACAGTGGTAATATCAATTTATATAGAGTGAACCACCTTGTTTGTATGCTCCTTTGCTATTTTTCTAAAAGTTTCCATGATCACAGTGTAGTTTGCAGATACTAATTCACACAGCATCTATTTAGTCACCAGTTTATAGACAGGAAAATTGATGTACCTGGAGTCTAACACTTAACGTAAAAAGTAACTATCTGCAAAGTGACACACATGGTGACACTTTAACCCCATAACATTTATAGTAAAATAAGTTTTCTTTAAATTGTGGTTATGGTTTAAAAACATGTAAGGATACCTTCTCATTCAATTGCTCTAGTCCCTGAGCACATTTTGAGAGAAAGTTAGCTTATATTTTGGTTCACTGACATATTAACAGCAGCAACAACATGGCTTGTCGTCTTCTTCTGACATTGATGATCACTGTACCAGATCCCTGGTTACCTGGTTAGCGCTGCTGTGGAAAAAATAGTCATCACCCTAACTAAATAATAATAGACTAGGCCCCGGACAGACATTCTGCTTGAACTGCTCCAAGCAGAAATGTACAGGTGTACATGATGCAAGAGCTTCAAAAATGATCTTCATAAAATATCTCTGAACTGCTTCCTCTTGAAGCAGTTGTTTTAGCATCCCATAGCGTTTGCTCTGCTTTCCCCCACTGCAGTGAGGGAAAGTGGGGCAGACAGCCAGTGAGCTCTCCTGTGCATTCATCTGTCTTTGGGAATGCTAGAAGGCAAAGGGCCATGCAAGAAATCCTTTTCTTCTACTGTTTGGCTGGAGGGCAAGAATCTCTACATGCACCTCAGTCTCAAGTATCCTGAGGCTTTTCCTTTCTGAGGGCATGTGGTATGCCAGGGGACTGAGCGAACCCTTACAACATTTCCTAGCTGGAAAATCATAACAGCTTCTGCATGCCATTATGGTGATTTTGAAGTGTTCCAGTGGTGGATGTAGCTGGGCCCCTCATACCTGCGTAGTAATGAAGTGCTCCAAATTTGAAGTACTTCAAGCCAAATTTGCAGCACTTCAAATGCACATCTGTTTATAGCCTAAGTTGTATATCAGTTTCAATAGCAAGTCTGCACAGCTGGCACTTATGGGATATACCTCTGAAATGAGTAAAGTTGATTTTGGAGGCCATCTGAAATAATACAAGATTTTTTTTCCCCAGAGTTGAACTGTATGGTGAAACATGGATTAAAACTTTTTTAGATTTTAAAGCCCAGTCCTTCCTCCCCTGACTACATAATCTAAAAGAGGGATCAGAGCATTGAGGGCCCTCACCAAGCCGTAGAGTCTTGTTTCTGGTGTTTAATTATTCCATGCAAAGTAAAATAGCTTCAGAGTGAAGGACTGAGAATCACCCATCCCAAAGAAGCATTCTGCTTACTTATGTCACAGGTGCAACCTGGATACTTGACTTATGTCAGTGATGGCACTGGAGTCTGTATCCAAAACAGGAGAAATGGTAGCATAGATGAATTTGGGCAGCTTAGATTAAATGAAGCGACTGTTAAGTGCTGGACTCTTAAGTAAGCAAGTGATGGTGTTACTCCTCTCAGAACCCAGCCCATGGAAAGGACTTTTAAGCTAGCGGGTGACTCTAAGCAGGGTGTTTGCTTGCAGCCCAGTGCTAACCCACCACAAAAATGAATAAGCAGACTCTTCAATTTAACTGACAACCACAGGACTGTATTAATGATAACAGACAACAACAATACTTACAATAATTACAAGATTATTTACAATGATAAGCAAGAAAACAGTGAGAGAGAGAACAGAAGAGAATGGAGACTCTCAGTCTGAGAGTTTCAAAAACTGTTGCAAGTTATACCAGCACATACACAGAAAGCCTGACTGTTACAGGCCCTCGGGCCCTATGCTTACAATGAGAACTGCACAGAAACCCCACCTTCCCAGGAGATTTTCCCCTCTTCAGGGTACTCTCTGTCCTTCAATCCAGGGAATGGGTGATATGTTAGCACAAGAGTGTTGGTCCACTGGCACCAGTCCTGGTTTATGGTTGCGCTCCCAGAGGGATCACTAGAGAGTCTTGCTCTACCTGAGACACGCATTTACCTCCAATCGCTTCACAGATACTAGACAC